TCTGGGTAAGTGATTGAACAGATCACTTAATCTTTCTAATCTTATTTTCCTAATCTAGAAATGAGAATTCTGTATTTCACATAGCTATTGTGAGGATTGAAGATAATGTATATAAAATGCATACTAGGATAGTGTCTGAAAAAGGTAGCTATTATTTTTATTTCAAAGATCTAAGTATTAATAAACATTATTATCCATGAAATGATCCATAATTTGTAGCACCACTAGACTTAAATTTGCTCTGTGTTCAAATGATTAGAGCACTAAGCTGGAGATTTGACTATATGGATTTTTCCAAGGTCATCTCATGATTAACTATATGACCTGCAAGTTATTTGATTATAATTTTTCATCTCTGAAATGATTGAATTCCTAGGCACCTTACTTGGCTCATAAAAGACACTGGATAGATAGAATGAGATAATAGATTATTTTGGGTCTGATATAAGTCGGGTAGGAAAACATTCCTAAAAAAGTGAAAGGTTATTTTGCTTTCTTCTAGTTAAAAGGTTGTTCCTGTCTCTTTAGATCATATGGCCAGGATTTTTTGTTTTGTATACGTGTAAAAGTGAAAATTAGAATCATGCTGATTTCTATATGCCTGAGAAAGAACTATGAATATGTGTAAAACTGAGATTTAAAATGGCCTCAGGACTTTTGAGCTTCACACATCTGTATGAGTTGCAGCTGCATGTATAAATGCATCTGCCCCTCACAGCTGAGATACTCTGAGACTCTTAACATTCAGTTATGAACAGCCTTTCTCTAAGTGAAGCTTTTTTTTATCTAACATACTTACTCTTTGTTGTTGCAGATGTATCACTAGCATTTCCTTATCTGGTGAATTTGCTTTTCAGAGGATGATGAGATAACTAGAATAGATGATGATTTTAGTAATTGGATTATAGTCCCTTCTGATTATAATAAGATACTTGAAAGTGATTATTAAATGGCTTTTTTTTTTAAAGAAAAAAGATAATTATGTTGATGTTTTTGCCAGTGTATTTTTTCAAAGTTTAAAAACTATTTTATTAGTGAAAATTACCTAATATAAGTAGAAGTAGACTAATCCAGTAAAACCCTCATGTCCCTTTTAGGCAGTTAATCCTTGGTTGAAAAAAGTTGAGGCAGGGAGATGGATTAGCATAACACACACATTAGCCCTGAAAGGTTATGGGGCAGAGAAAAGAATAAAATAAGAAAAAAATCTAATGTATTAACCCAATTGTAAGAGTTGGATTTGATGCCACAGATGTTCTGTAGACTATCAGAAGTCTTTTTTCAGAAGGCAGAAATCATCAAATCCAATTATAATCTTCAAGATATGGGAAAACAAACCTACTTATTCTGCAGTGAATGGGTATAATTCCTCAAGGAAAAGTCTGGCATTTTAGAAACCTTTATACTCTTACTCTAGCTTAAAGGTAGTATTTTCCTTTGTTGCCTGACCTTTCAGTTACTTTTCTGCCAATCCATCGTCCTTATTTTTCACTGTTGCTTAAATTTCTACAGTGACCTCAAACAGAGTGCTCATCTGTCTTCTTTGCTTTTGCTAAATTTTTGCTTTTGCTGTCGTTCAGTTTTAGCCTCATTAATTTATAGACAAATTATTCTAATTTTCTCTAAACCCTCCCTGTATTTTGAGGAAATTAATAAATCCATACAACAAGCACTTAGAGAAAAAAAGAGAAAGTCTCATTTATGGTTCTAGGATAAGATACTTTTATAGGCTGAGCACTTTTCCACTCAGGATAAATGTGGCTCAGAGTAAATAAGACGTTAATAGTTCCTTTTGGCACTTTGGCTGAGCATTGTGCTTCTCATCTTTGTTACACAAGTAAGAACTGAAGGAGTAGGTTTGGGCCTCAGGGTATCATTTAGCTGGATGAAAATATCACTGTCTGCAGCAGCTCTTAAAACCTTTTTTTTGTTACTTTCCAGCTTCTAGGCTTCATTCATCAGAGCAGGTATAGCTTTTCATTGGTTCCTTTTTTTTCAACTTATTCTATCACAAGCTGGGTTTTATCTCTCATTGACTTATTTTCTTCTTACAGCCCGGGAAAGGGCTTGAGCATTTAACCATTTTTGGCCCAATGGCTTTGGGGGACAGATCTAATCTTTTTTCTCCCTAGGTCTTGTTGGCTAGTACAGTGTAATCTTTACTTTATGATACATTTAAAGCCAAAGCTTATTCATTATCCAATGGCCAATGCTATTACTGATATTAATAATAGCAGTGCTAGATAACATTTCTTATTCTATTACTATATATCAGGCACTAAGTTCTTTACATGTCAGATTTATTTAATCATTACTAACTACCCTAATGAGATAGGTACTATTATTATAGGTGAGGAGACTGAAGCACAGAGGTTAGGTATCATGCCCAAAGCCAGACTAGCTGGTAAGTAGTAGAGCCTAGATTCAACCTAGGCATTTTAGCTCTAGCGTCTGTGTTGTTAACCATTGTTCTATACTGCTTTTAAACATTTTTAATGTGACTTATCTTTTGAATGAGAATTATAATAGTATACAGTCTAATACCTGCTTCACTTTCATTTCTATCAATTCTAGATGGTTCTGCCAGAATTTTAAGTACTCTAAATCTAGCATAATAGAAAATAGGCCTATTAAGATTAATTTATTGAGATAATTTAACAGGCTTTATTGCACAGATTTTTTTTTTAAGATTTTATTTATTTATTTTAGAGAGAGCATGAGCAGGGGGAGGGGTAGAGGGAGAGGAGAGAGAATCTTAAGCAGATTCCCTGCTTAGCACAGAGCCTGATGCAGGACTTCATCTCAAGACCCAGGAAATCATGACCTGAGCCAAATCACGAGTTGGCTGCTCAACTGACTGAGCCACCCAGGCACCCCTATTGCATAGATTTTAATGGAATGTAAATCAGTCTAGTTTTAAACCTTCTAGCTCTTTGTGCTTGTGTTAATTTTCTTATCAATTTATAATATAGAATGACCTTTGTGATAAAGGCTTTCAGTTAGGAAATTTATATTTAATTTATGTTGGTTTTTACCTTTCATTGACTGCATTTGTTTTCTAGAATAACATAGTTTTCCATCTAAAATTCATCTGATTCAGTTAACTTCAAAAGCAAATATTATATGCAAAACATTGTATTAGCTTCTGAGGATAAAGAAGGCATTTTGTCAACCTCAAAAGGCTTATTGTGTAGGCCTAGCAAATGCCATCTTCCTTTCTCTGTAAAGCTTTCCCAACTACCCTGACCCAATTGAAATGAATTGCTTCTTATTTGGCACTCATCTCAATTTATTTGTATAGTATAATGTACTTTGATTCAATATAGTTAGGAAATGCATTCCTAGTTAGGAAACAAGGCTGTTGTCATGATCTAAGTATGAGTAACGTAAGTCTGAGCCAGTGTAGCAGCAGTGCAAATAGAAAAAGAAGGGATTTATACTGGAAATATTTCAAAAGACATACTTGGTAACTAATTGTGGGTGAACTGTGAAATGGAAGAATCAAAGAAAATGCCAAAATTCTGAGCCTTAATGACCAGAAGACCTTTTTTTAAATTAACTCAGAACTCATATTTATGTGATCTTTTACAGAGTATCTAGGTACATTTTCATCTTTCCAACTATCCTTTAAGTCAAATAGAACAAGTATTTTTTTTTTTATTCATCATTCCTTCCTTTCAGATGAGGAAACTCAGTTAAGACTTGCTCCAGTTCATGTTATTATTAAGCAGTAGCACTAGGATCCAAACTCAGCTCTTCCCACTCCCAGTTGGTTTTGCCATGCTGAATTTGAAGTCTTGGTAGAATGTCAAATTTCTGGGAGGTTTTGGGAGTCTACATGAGAACAAGAGTTGAAGCAATGGGGGTGGATGAGATTTCCAAGGAAGAAATTGTAGATAAAGAAGAGAAAGAGAATCATGGGTTGGATTTTTGGGGAATACATGCATTTACAGGTATTAAATTACTTATTTAGCTGAATAAGGAGAGACAAAGAAGAAAACTGGAAGGGAAATATCAAAGAAATAGGAAGGGAATCAAGAGTGGAAAGTATTGGTAGAAACTATTAGAGGCTTTTAAAATACAGAAACTGGTCAAAGCAAGATACCTATGTTATAGAGACAGGAAGATAAGGATAAGGAAAAGTCATTTAACAAATAGAAGATTATTAGAAACCTTTGAGGGGAGTCTTTTGAGAGAAGGCTGAAGACTAGATTACACTAGGTTGAAGGAAGTATGTGAGTTAAAAAAGAAGCAGTGAGTTTAGACTACAGTTGACCCTAGGACAATGCAGGGGTTAGGGCCCTGACCCCTGTGCAGTTGAAAATCTGCATATAACTTTTGACTCCCCAATAACTTAACTTCTAATAGTTTACCACTGAGTAGAAGCCTAACTGATAACATAAACAGTTGATTAACACATATTTTGTATGTTATATGTATTATATACTGTATTCTTAGAATAAAGTAAGCTACAGAAAAAAAAAGTCAAGAAAATCATAAGGAAGAGAATACACATTTACACATTCACAGTCCTGTACTATAAAAAATCCACATGTAAGTGGATTCATACCATCCAAACCTGTGTTGTTCAAGGGTCAACTGTACTTTTAAGAAATTTGTTTTTATATGTTTATATTCTTAGGGGATCAGAATTTGAGATAATAGGTGGGTACATCTTATGTCTCTTTCTCCCAGATTATCCTGAGTAGAACTTCACACTCTTCTGGGATATGTGATCTGACTCTCATGCCTAAGGCTTTGCTAATATTACCTCATGTAGATCTGAGCTCAAGGAGCCCTATATGGTCAACAAAATTTAATACTGCATCATTTGCATTTCTGACAGCATCAAAGAGTTTTAAGTGAAAACCTCATTAAAAAAAAAAAAGTTGGGTATATTTTTGGCTTCATTACTTTCTAAATCCTGAAAAAAATTGAAAAATTTCTTACATAATGTATTTACATTATACCTTTGTGTTTATGCTTATTCTTCTTTAAAGGATGGAATGGCCTTATGTATGTTCATGCAAAACACCTTAACAAGATTTATGAGGTAATGTATCTTTCATTTTAAAATATGAAATCTAAAAAAACCAAAAAGAGCTCTTCATTGTTCTGTTTTGCACCAGTTAAAAAATTCCTGATTTTCGAATTATATTTATTTTAATGATAACCTATTTATTTGTGCTATCAAAGACAGTCATTTAATTAAATGTTAGTGAAGTACGCATAGGTATTTAAGAGAAAGATAAAAAAAATTTTAAGACATGGCATTTTTCCTAAAGAGCTTATAAAATTATAAAAACTAAGGATTATTATTATTTAGCATACTTACTAGTTGGACATCACTCTATTTTTGGTGCTCTTCATATGTAAGAGCCTAGAAAGAATAATGGAATCAAAACATTATTCTAAAATACTTTTTTTCATTGTTTTAGTTCCTCTTCACCTTCCTTTCCCTATTTACTTGACTTTTTCTTAGATAAATCTTAAAAGTTTTTTTAATCCTTTTTATTTGGAAGCAGAAGGTGTTAATACATTTTTCCATTACTTTAGGCGTGCAGCTTTGCATTTGGTTACAACCTACAAAATATTCCATACTTTCAAAGCATATGTATTTACCTTGTGATACTTACATACTTCTTTCAAAGTGGGTCTTTGCAGTCAGGAAAGGTGGAGAGATTTATTTTTACCACAGACCCATTTCTTTATATAGTGTTACTTTATCAATCATTTCAATAGGCAATAAAGACTTTTGATAGGAATCTTTATAATAACACAGTTTTGGAGCTCTGTCTTCTTTTGGAGGTAGCCTTAGTTTTGCCACCTAACGTGACATCAATAAAAATGGAGTAAAATAAGATCACATTTAATTATTCTTTTTTTTTTTATAAAGATTTATTTATTTATTTGAGAGAGCGAGAATGAGAGAATGAGAGAGAGAGAGTACATGAGAGGGGGGAGGGTTAGAGGGAGAAGCAGGCTCCTCGCCAAGCAGGGACCCTGATGCGGGACTCGATCCAGGGACTCCAGGATCATGACCTGAGCCGAAGGCAGTCGCTCAACCAACTGAGCCACCCAGGCGCCCACATTTAATTATTCTTGATTGCCAGTGGCTGAGGAGTTGTAGGAGCTGTATATTATATAAAAAACATTCATTTATTTAGAAGAAAGTTACAATATATAGTTAAAAAATACAGTTAGTAATATATAAAAATATACATAAGGTATTTTTATCATCTAGTATTTATAATATATACTTTATATATTTTATGTATATTATTCATATATAAGTTTAAAAATAGATGATTTCAGGGAGGTTGTTTGATAAACTTACACAGCATTTAGTATGAATTACTATATCTTAAGAATTACACTGTTTTATTCCTCATGATACACACAATCAGGGTTCCACTATCCTTTGAGGTATGTTTGTTATTATGAACATAGTTCAATAATTTTGTTTCTGCTCCATCTCAAGTTTTTTTAAAGTAATATTTGTAAATTAATATTGAAATGAAAAATATTAACATCCATATTTTCCTTTTTTCCTTCAATAAACAGACTCCCTTTAATAAGTGTTGCACTGATTCAAGGTCGGGCATTGGGTGGAGGAGCAGAATTTACTACAGCATGTGATTTCAGGTAAGATAAAAATTGCTTCACTCCCTCCATAAATATAATCAATATGCTCAAACTTATTTTTTGCTCGAATATAAATGTTATTTATATTCTTAAACAAATGATCAATTAGTGAGTATTTTCTTCTTGTCAGTTTTATTTTTTTAATTTAAATTCAATTAATTAACATATAATGTATTATTTGTTTGAGGGGTACAGGTCTGTGATTCATCAGTTTTATATAATATCCAGTGCTCATTACAACACATACCCTCCCCAGTGTCCATCACCCAGTTACCCCATCCCCAAACCTCCCCCCTCAGCAACCCTCAGTTTGTTTCCTGAGATTAAGAGTCTCTTATGGTTTGTCTCCCTCTCTGATTTGTCTTGTTTTATTTTTCCCTCCCTTCCCCTATGATCCTGTTTTATTTTGATTAAAACTTCACAGTGTAGGGTTTGAGGGAACATACCTTAATATCATAAAAGCCATTGAGTTCCAGTTTCAAAGCATTGTGGTCCAAAAATACGCAGGGAATGATCCCAATCTTTTGGTACCAGTTGAGACCTGATTTGTAACCCAGGATGTGATCTATTCTGGAGAATGTTGCATGTGCACTCGAGAAGAATGTGTATTCTGTTGCTTTAGGATGGAATATTCTGAATATATCTGTGAAGTCCATCTGGTCCAGTGTGTCATTTAAAGCCCATATTTCCTTATTGATCTTCTGCTTAGATGATCTGTCCATTGCAGTGAGGGGGTTGTTAAAGTCCCCTACTATTATTGTATTATCGATGTGTTTCTTTGATTTTTTTATTAACTGGCTTGTATAATTGGCTGCCCCATGTTAGGGGCATAAATATTTACAATTGTTAGATCTTCTTGTTAAATAGACCCTTTAATTATGATAGTGTCCTTCCTCATCTCTTCCAGTCCTTGGTTTAAAATCTAATTTATCTGATATAAGGATTGCCACCCCAGCTTTCTTTTGATGTCCATTAGCATGATAAATGGTTTTCCATCCCCTCACTTTAAATATGGAGGTGTCTTTGGGTCTAAAATGAGTCTCTTGCAGACAGCATATTGATGGGTCTTGCTTTTTTATTCTGTCTAATACCCTGTGTCTTTTGATTGGGGCATTTAGCCCATTTACATTCAGGGTAACTATTGAAAGATATGAATTTAGTGCCATTGTATTGCCTGTAAGGTGACTGTTACTGTATATTGTCTGTGTTCCTTTCTGGTCTACGTTACTTTTAGGCTCTCTCTTTGCTTAGAGGATCCATTTCAATATTTCTGGTTTGGTGATCACAAATTCTTTTAGTTTCTGTTTGTCCTGGAAGCTTTTTATCTCCTATTTTGAATTACATCCTAGCTGGATAAAGTATTCTTGGCTGCATATTTTTCTTGTTTAGCATCCTGAATATATCATGCCAGTCCTTTCTGGCCTTCCAGGTGTCCGTGGATAGGTCTGCTGCTAATCTAATGTTTCTACCCTTGTAGGTTACAGACCTCTTGTTCTGAGCTGCTTTCAGGATTTTCTCTATGTCTCTGAGATTTCTTCTTGTCAGTTATTAAAGTAGATAAATTTTAGTCAATCTAATATAATAACTCTACCATTACTTTATTGCTATGCCTTTCAAAAAGTTAACAAAGTAAAATGATTTTGAACAAATTAAATCCATGTTAGCAAAATTCCTGGAGAAGGAAGTCAAGTAAATATATGAAACTTTAATATTCAAAAGAATTATACAGAGAAAAATAAAAAACTAAAAAAAGACAGAGAGAGAGAGTGGAGAAAGAGGCACTGCTATAATTGTCCTCTTACCAGTAAAAGTAGGTTCTCTGAGGTCCATTTCTTATCTTTACTCTGATTGGTGTTAACTCTGTGGAGCTTTTGGGCTGGTTAGGGAATAAAATTAGAGAAAATTATTTGGGACCTATAGCCCTCAGTCCCCAGAATTCTTTTTAATATTGGATAGCTGTACTTTATAGGAATGATATTTTGTAGAATATAATGCTTTACATGTGCTTGAAACTACATTCTTAGTTACCATTCCTAAGACTTCCTAGCTCAGATATAAGGAGAACCAGTATAGTGTTCTTTGATCTGTATAGACTTACGCACTTGAGCCTCTTTATAATACGGAAGGTGGTATACATAGCATAATTGGAGATAAAATGGCAGAACAGTAAAGAGCCCAAAGACTGGAGTTAGATACACTTAGATTCAATCCCAGTTTGCCACTTTTATCTATAGTTGATTGTCAAATAACCTGAGTTTGACTGTGCTGGTCCACTTATACATGGGTTTTTCTCTATAAATACAGAACAGTATTGTAAATGTATTTTCTCTTCCTTACGGTTTCTTTTTTTTTTTTTTTTTAAGATTTTATTTATTTATTTTAGAGAGAGAGCACGAGCAGGGGTAGGGGCAGAGGGAGAGGGAGAGAGAGAATCCCAAGCAGACTATGCGCTAAGTGCAGAGCATGAAGCAGTGCTCGATCCTAGGATCCTAGGACCCTAGAGATCATGACCTGAACCAAAATCAAGAGTCTGATGCTTAATCGACTGAGCCACCCAGTTGCCCCTCTTCCTTATGGTTTTCTTAATAACATTTTTTTTCCCTCTGGCTTACTTTATTGTAAGAATACAGTACATAATACATATAACATACAAAATATGTGTTAATTGACTGTTATCAATAAGGCTTTCAGTTGACAGTAGGCCATTAGTAGTTACGTTTTGGGAGAGTCAAAAGTTCTACACAGATTTTTGACTGCATGGGGGGTGGTAAGTGCCCCTAAACCTGACACCGTTCAAGGGTCAGCTGTATTTGACTTTTAATAACTATTTTATCTAAGTCTCAATTTCTTTATAAAATATAAATAATCTCTGCTGGATGTTTATAGATTTAAGTGATTCAATGAACATGTAGATGCTTAGCATAACACTTAACCAAGGTACACATTGATGTACACATGATACTGATTAGAGTCTTAAGATTACCTTACTGCTCTTATACTTTTACAGAAATGCTAGTATGGTAATATTTTGGCAGAGTTTTAAATTTATTTTTATTTTTTAGAGAGAGAGAGAGCACACAAGTGGGGAGGAGGGGCAGATGGAGAGGGAGAGAGAGAATCTCAAGCAGGCTCCACGCCAGGGCGGAGCCTGACTTGGGACTCAATCTCAGGACTCTGAGATCATGACCTGAGCTAAATCAAGAGTTAGATGTTTAACCAATTGAGCCACCCAGGCGACCTGGCATAGTTTTAAACTTATTAATTCTCCTTTCACTGGGGATGATTTTCAACCTTAAGGCTAATCCTGGCCTCACTCCTTTTTTCCTATTCATTATACACTTGATCCTGGAAGGAGAATGTTGGAGCATACACTAAGAGGAGACTTTCAGTGTTTAAAATTTTGACTCTCCTTTTCAGACACTAAAGAGAAAGCCATTCCTCTCTGGCATGTAGGGCAGTAGACTAGAGGAGAAATATTTGATAATTAATTCAGCTTTTTCATTCTCTTTCAGCTATGTTTCTTTGAATCACAAACTTTCATGTTTTTCAAAGTTCAGATTATCAAAGTATATAAGCTAAATCTTGTAATCTACCCACTGTACTAAAATGCTATGAACATAGTCATGGTGATATAAAAGATATCTATCAAAAAGAAAAAGAGAAACCTATAATTAAGAATGCTTAAAGGTGTGTATTATTTAATCAAAGGCTTCTCTCTTCTAGCCTTCATTTTAACAAGTCTTAAATCACTTTTATTGTAGTATAATTTACATTCTACACCGTGTAACCACTTCCACAATCAAGATATAGAACATTTTTATCAACTCCACATGTTTGCACATACTGTTGCCCAGTCAATTCCCACCTTAGTCCAAGGCAGACACCAATCACTTTTTCACTCTAAGTTAGATTTGTTTTTTTAGTTTATTTTTAGCATTTTATATAAATAGATTCATTCAGTATATATTTGTGTGTGTGTGCCTGGCTTCTTTCATTCAGTGTAATTATTTTGAGATTCATCAATGATGTACCATGTATCACTACGTCATTCCTTTTTAATGTTGAATTTTTTTATTGCGTGGATATACTACAGTTTGTTTTCAAGATTCATATGTGTTATTCCATATATCAGTGGTTTGTTCATTTTGTTGCTTAGTAGTGTGCCTTTCTATGCATATTATATATTATTATATATTATGGATAAAAGTCCTTTTACATAAGTCAATTATGTAGCATTTTTTTTGTAAATATAAGTGTTGTGAATGTTCTCTCAGCCTTTTTATTTTGTGTCTTTTGAAGAGCAGAGATTTTTTTTTTTAAAGATTTTATTTATT